TATATATATATATATATATATATACACACACATAAACATTACATATAATGGAATAATATGGACATAATCTAAGTTTTTAACAGAATATTAATTCACTCTTATATTTACATTCTTTTGTTTTTGTTATTTTCAATAGTATTATTAGGTGCATTTATTGTTTATATTTTTTTCATCCTTAAAAATGCAAAAATATTTTTTATTTTCAAAGGTAGTATTATTATACATACCCTTTGAAAGTTATGTTTATATTTTTTCATTCTTGAAAATGCAAAAATATATTTTATGCTTAAAAACAAAATTATTATATACCTTTTGCAAATATAAATAAAAAATTATATATTTCTGAAAAATAAAAAAGAGGATGAAATTAATATAAGGTATTATAAATATTTGTACACATATATACAAAATATCTCATATTAATAGTTTTAAAAAAATTTTATTTGCACTTTTTATAAGTAAGCAAAAATTTATTTATCATTTAATTTACTCATTGAATATGTATAAATATAATTGACAAATTTTCTGTAAAATTTTCTGTTCATAAAAATTAAAAATATAAATTTCATTCACAAATAATGCATTTTTTAAAAATATTTGCTATAAATAATTATATAGAATTAAGAATAAAAACTTATTGAAATATTCAACTATTAATATCTTTATGTGTAATCTTCACAACCTTTTAAAACCTGTTAATATTAAAAAATTATTTTTATATTATTTGCATTATATTATTTTATTGCAATATATCTGGAGGTATATTTATCACTTGTTGTATCAAATAATTTTCAATAACTGCTTTAGCTGAAAAATGATTGATTGGGATAATTTTTTAATATTTTATATAATTTGCTAAAAATGCTTAATATTTGATTTTTGCTTACCAGTTAATGAATTATTTAATATTGCTGCATGATAAGCACTTATATTGTACATATTACGATGTGTTATATCAGCACCTCTGGATAATAATTCATAACATACATGTGGATGATCACCATATGCTCCATATATTAAAGGTGTATTTCCTTCCTTTATTATTATTAAAAAAAAATTAATTTCTATTTAATAAAAATTATGAACACATACCTCATCACTTGCATTCGAATCTGCATCATGATTTAATAATAATTTTACAAGATCATGATGTCCATAAGCAGCTGCTAAATGCAAAGGTGTCTCTCCATTAAGACCACGATAATTTTTATTAGCACCAGCTTTAAGTAATTGCCGTGCACTACCTAATTGTCCATATCCCGCAGCCCACATAAGACCAGTTAAACCTTTTTCATCAGGTGTGTCTATAGTATCTTTATAATAATTTATTAACAATAATTTAATTATAATATACATTTATGTATATAATCATTTTTATCTATAAAAATATTTTATATACATAATATAACATACTTGGATGTATATGTTCAGGTGTAAGTTCACCTTGACCAGCTAATGTATGAAATGTAATATCACTACCACTATAAAGTTGAGGTATTTCTGTTTGGGTATTACCTCTTTGTAAATTAGTAAGTATAGTAGGAGGCTAAAAAAATATTAGATTGAAGATGCACTTATATGTATATTTTACTTAAATATTTTAAACAATTTATATAAAAAATTATATAAAAATACCTTATATGGTTGAAAAGCACTAGTTCTTGTAGCATCTTGCCATGCTCCTGGAGCCCAATGCCACTTGGTTTCTATAGGTTCAGATTTACATCCAATATTTACATTTTCTGGTTTACAAATTAATGGTCTTGGTCTGATGCCAATTGTTGATTCCCCATCACAAACAATATTTTTAGTTTCACATTTTTGTTCTTTTTCTTCTTCTTCTTCCTCTTCTTCTTTTATAATTAGTTCAGAATGAATTTGATTTTCCATATTTTTATTATATTTCACAAAATCATATTAAATAATACATAAACAATAATATAAATAATAAGATATATGTACATTTTTAAATTAAAAAATACTCTAATAGAAATATGTATATAAATATGTAATATGTATATTATATTTATGTTTAGTTTAAAAAGTTTTATCTAATAAATATTATTACATTCAAATAATATAATATATAATTGATTTATTTTATCTAATTATTATTAATTATTACATACATTATTTTAACTACATAATATAAGCGTTATTAAAATTCATTAAAAAAATTTTTAAAAGATTTGTAACTATTTTTATAGGTTATATGATATTATCATTATTAGTATACATTTTTTATTTTCACGATAATTTCTATAATATATTAAATATAATTAATATTTTTATAAGAATTAAAATTTTTATGAAAAAGATATTTTTTACTATAAATGCTTGTTTAGAAAAATAACATATAGTACACTGACAAATTATTCATGATATATTACGAAACAGAAATTTTTATAAAGTTATACATTTATAAATTCTAATATATTTTACATGTTAAAACTAATTTTAAGTATTATAAAAATCTTATTTTAAATAATATAAAAATAATATTATTATCGCAATATGAGTAACTTTATGAGAAATATAATATTTAAAAAGGTATTATATGTTAATTTTATGCATTTAATTTTTAAAAAGTTTAAAATTATATAATATTTAAAATCAATTTGAATTTTATAATTCCAAATTTCTAATATGTTTATAATAAATTTTTTAATTATACATGTAGGTTAAATAATTTTAAAATTTATTTATAATTTTAAAATTTAATATATAATACCGGTTATTTCAATAACTACAAATATAATTAACATTAACAAATATATTTATTAAAAATATTTATATTATATAAATTATATTTAAAAAATTTTTGTGAATCTATAGAGAATTTTTTAAATAATAAAAATGTAATTTGTTTTAGGTTATAGAACCGTTACAAAATAAAAATAATGCATATCGACATAAAATTATGTTTAATTTATATGTCAAATTTAACGAAAAAATTGGCACATATTCTTTTATACTTCCTTTAAAGACAAAAGATTACAATTTAACAAATGAAATTAAAAATATAAACAATAATTTAAAAGAATCTTTTGATAATGTAATAATAAAAGATAATATCATATATTTTCATATATTAAGAGATAAATATATAAAGAAAATTTTAGAAAGTAATTGTTTTGGTATTACGCCACCACTACTCATAGATAATAATAAAAATATTATAGTAGAATTTAGTTCTCTAAATATTGCTAAACCTTTTCATATAGGCCATTTACGTTCTACAATTATAGGAAACTATATAGCTAATCTAAATAGTTTTTTGCATAATCAAGTTACAAAAATAAATTATTTAGGTGATTGGGGTACACAGTTTGGTTATATTTATCTTGGAATGAAAATAGCAAAAATTGATAATATAGAAATAGAAACAAATCCTATTAGAACATTATATAATGTTTATGTTAATGCTAATAAATTAGCTGAAAAGAATCCAGATATGAAGGAACAAGCTAAAAAGATATTTCAACAATTAGAATTAAGAGATAATGTAATTCATAAAAATTGGGAAACAATTAAACAGTTTACTGTTTTAGAATTAGAAAAAATTTATAAAAGGATAGGTGTAATTTTTGATCGATATGATTGGGAGTCTATGTATACTATTAAAAATATAAGTAAAATAATTAATACAATGGAGGAAATGCAATTGTTAAAACTAGATAATAATAATAGGAAAGTAATATATATAAATGAAAAAAAAAGTGTTCCAATTTTAAAAAGTGATGGTACAAGTTTATATTTAAGTCGAGATATTGCTGCTGCCATTGATAGATTTGAAAAAAACAAATTTGATGCTATGTACTATATTGTAGAAAATGGTCAGAGTGATCATTTTACAAATTTAATTCAAATTTTAAATAAAATGAAATTACCTTGGGCAGATAGATTAAAACATGTCAAATTTGGAAGAATACAAGGTATGAGTACAAGAAAAGGGGAAGTAATATTTTTAGAAGATATTTTAAACAAAGCACAGGAAATGATGAGACAAAAACAATTAGAAACAAAATGTAAGTTTATGATGATCATAAATAAAACAAAAGTCATAACTCAATAGTTAAATAATAATTAGTCAAATATTTAAAAAATTATGTTTAAATCATTATATCATATATTTTATAAATTATATTTTAAATCATTATATTTTAGCAACTAAGGTTCCTTTAGATAAAATTGATGAAACTTCTGATATTTTGGGTATATCTGGTGTAATTATTAATGATTTAAAACAAAATAGAATGAATAATTATACATTTCACTGGAATTCAATATTGAATGTAAGTTATTTAAATAACTTTAAATTAAAATTTTTTAATTATTTATTAGTTAGAAATATATTTTAATATATTTTAATATTAGATGAAAGGTGATTCTGGAATAAAATTACAATATTCTCATTGTCGTTTATGTAATTTAGAAGAATTATGTGGTACTACATTAGTAACAAAATGTGATCCAAATCTTTTAAAGGAATCAGAAGTTGATAATTTGATTACATTAATTAGTCAATTTGATGAAATTATACTTAAGTCTTATGAAGAATTAGAACCCTGTATATTAACAATTTATCTTTTTCATTTATGGTTAGTATGGCATATAGTTTTATATATATATATATTCAAATTTTAAGTATATTAATTTTACGTAATTTTGTGTATATTTATAAATTTTTTTTAGTAAATCAATCAATATAGCTTGGCATAAATTGAATGTAAAAGATCAACCAAGTGACTTAGCAAATCAAAGATTATTATTATTTCGTGTGGCAAAAATGATTCTTGCTCAAGGTATAAAATTACTTGGTTTAACACCTTTGGAAAAAATGTAAAAAAAAAATTTTTATATAATAATAAATAATAAATAAAGACAGAAATATATTGCAAAGATTTTCAATATTAAGTTATCTATATATAATTTGAATCTTTAAATATATTTATTAATGTTTTTTTTATTATAGATAATTTTATAGATAAAAATTT